GGCGCGGGCGCCGCCGCCAGCCACGGCGGCGGCGCGCGGCTCCGCCCGCGCCTGCGCGCCGTGCGCCGCGGCTCGCCGCCCGAGCTGGCGCGGGCGCTGCGGGCTGCGGAGGTGGTGCAGCTGCGGGTGGGGCCCGACGGCACCTTCTGGCACCCTGGGTCGCAAGCGATTTCCCCCCCCCCCCCCTCCCCCCGCCTTCTCCCCTCCCCCCCGCCACCATCCCTTTACGCCTGTAGCGAGCTCGGTAATTCTCATCCTCTCCTCCTCCGTCTCTCTCCTCCTTCGCCTCCTCGTCGTCGTCGTCCTCCTCCTCCTCCTCCTCCTCCTCCTCCCAATTACTCAATATAAACTACTCTCCCTCTTCCCCCGATGGCGACCTGAAAGTAGCCGACCCCCCCGCGTACTGTTTTTTTACACACAGGATTCCAGGGAGTTGGGTTTTCGCCTGCGCTTTTTTCAAAATGCTGCTCTCGCTGAGGCGCCGGCCTCATTTCTGCTCCCGAATCGTTCCGAATCGTGCTCCCGCTGCAGCGTGGGCCTCATTTTCGGATCGGTGTTTGGCCTCCGTCGTTCAGGATGGCGCTCTCGCCCCAGCGCGGGCCTCTTTCTCGCGCGCCCATCCGCCCGCCACCACCGCGCCGCATCACCACCACCACCACCACCACCACCACCACCACCACCACCACCACCACCACCACCACAACCACAACCACAACCACAACCACCACCAGCACCACCACCACCACCACCACCAGCACCACCACCACCAGCACCACCACCACCACCACCACCACCACCACCACCACCACGCACACACGCACGCACGCACGCACGCACGCACGCGCACCACCACCCTCTACGCACGCGCGCGCGGAGCCACAGGTCCGCTACGACACGCGTCCGCGGATAGAGAGAATCAGCGTCATTGTAAGGGATGGGAGGGAGGGGTAGGACGTCAGATATGACGCGAGCGCACCTAGCTTGTCCACCCCCCTCCCCCCCTCCCTTCTACCTCCCCCCGCCTCAAACAGCAACGGCACCGACCAATGCCCTTCTGGGTCACCCGCGAGGTCCTGCGGGTGCGCGAGGGTCGCCCGCTGCCGACACCCTCCGGGCGCTGCAGTGGGGCGCGAGGGTATTTCATGGCGTTTCGCGCGTCGCGGCCTGGGCCAGATCGGCTGCCCCTTTCCGAGGTGGCGGCGCGAGGGCGCACGGGCGCGAAGTCAGTCGCGCATCGCAGGGCGCGGTGCGCGAAGTTGGGCGGCCGAGGTACCTCTGGCGCGACGGGCCGAGCGGGACCTACAGCGTCGGGGCCGCGTCGGTCGAGGGCGGGCACGAGGTGGTCGCCGAGGGGCTGGCCGCGCCGCGGTACCTGCAGGCGTCCGCCCGGGGCCGCGGCGAGGCCGTGCTCGTGGACAGCGGGGGCGCCATCCGCCGCCTGCGGAGGGGCGCGGAGGTGAGCTCGGAGGTGGGCCACTCGAGACAACGGCGGCCCTCCGCGTCGTTTTGTCCGCCGTTGTGGGGCTTCCGGGGGCTTCTCGCCGCCGCGGTTGGCCCCGCGTCGAAGAACGGGTCGAGCGAGACCCCGGGACCGACTTTGAGCGGGCCTGCGGCGGGCGAGAGAGCCGCCGTTTTGTCTCAAGCGTCCCTCCTCCGATGAGAGTGCTCGACGAGCACGCTAACGCGGCGTCTCTGGAGGTGTACGAGGGCGGGCTCCTGGTGCTGAAGCACGACAGCGAGGGCAAGACCATCGAGAGGCGCGACCACGACGGCGTGTTGCTGGAAACGCTCGTCCTTCCCTTCAAGCTGCCACCGTACTTCACAGCGAACTCGAGCGGGCGCGAGCTCGTTTACTCCACCCCGACGTCGCTGCACAAGGTTGACTTGACCACTCGGGAGCAGATGCACATCGCGGGCCACTGCAAGCGGAAGGGCTGCGAAGACGGGCACGGATCGCTCGCCAGATTCAATAAGTTGATGCTCCCCCGGCATCATGCTGCGATGAACGGCGTCTTCGTGCGGGACGAGCGGGCGGATTCCACGTCACGCTTCTGCTACGTGGACCTCGCGACGTTCGGTGTCACGACGTGGGAGGTAGAGCACCTGGAGAAGGTCCACTGTGCCGCCACCGCCTTCCCGCACCTGGTCGCCCTTCTGCCAGACGGTGACCTCTACCACGCAGACATGCGCGACGACATTTCTCGCAGCACGTTCGTCTGCGACATGTTCACCCTGGACTGGTCGGAGCCGTGCAGCGTCGAGTTCCGGCTCGCCGGCGGCATCACGCTCTTTGCTGACCGCAGGGTGCTGTCAGCGCGCTCGCCGTACTTTGCCGCGATGTTCCGGGCCGGCAGCGGCCTGTGCGAGGCTGGCTCGCCCGTGATGGTGATGGTGATGGTGATGGTGATGGTGATGGTGATGATGATGATGATGATGATGATGATGATGATGATGGTGATGGTGATGGTGATGGTGATGATGGTGGTGGTGGTGGTGGTGGTGGTTATGATGGCGATGGTGATGGTGATGGTGATCGTGACGGTGATCGTGATCGTGATGGTGATGGAGATGGTGGTGATGACGATGATGACGATGACAGTTACGATTAGTATGATGATTACGATGCTGATGGTGATTATAATGTTGTTGCTGCTAATGATGATGTTGTTGCTGATGTTGTTGATGATGATGCTGATGCTGATGTTCATGACGAGGATGCTGATGATGATTGTGATGATGATGCTGATGATGATGCTGATGATTGTGCCGATGATGATGAGCATGATGATGATCATGATGATGCGGATGATGGTGATGATGATGACGATGATAATCCTGATGATAACGATGATGACGATGACGATTACGGTGATTATGATGTTGATGATGCTGCTGATGATGTTGTTGATGATGATGCTGATGTGTATCATGATGCTGGTTATGGTGATGTTGATGATGATGATGTTGATGATGATGGTGATGGAGGTGATACTGATGACGATGATGATGATCATGACGATCATGATGATGATCATGATGGTGCTCATGATGATGCTGATGATGATCATGATCTTGATGCTGATCATGCTGATGATGATGATGATGATGATGATGATGATGGTGGTGCTGCTGATCATGTAGACGATGATGACGACGATGATGATGACCATGATCATGATCATAATCATGGTGCTGATGATGCTGCTGCTGCTGATGATGATGATCATGGTGATGATGATGACGAAGACGAAGCTGATGATGATGATGATGATGATGGTTATGATGATGATGATGATGATGATGATGATGATGATGATGATGATGATGGTTATGATGATGATGCTGATGATGATGCTGATGATGATGATGATGGTTATGATGATGGTTATGATGATGCTGATGATGATGATGATGATGATGCTGATGATGATGATGATGATGATGATGATGATGATGATGATGATGATGATGATGATGATGATGATGATGATGATGATGATGATGATGCTGGTCCACTGCATCTAAGATGGTCAGGAGCACAAGCTCGAGAGTTGCCCGAGCCTAAAAGTTCCTTCGGTGCCTCGCCCGCAGCGTCGGGCCGTGCTAACTGCACTCGCGAGGAACCACCAGGCTTCAGATCACTGTCACTGCCACACGAGCGGCGGCCAGCCGCCACCGCGGGAAAGAAACGCCTCGCGCGAGCCTGACAGCGGCTGCCGGGATGCGGCAGCCGGCGGCAACACCCCGAAGGGAACATTGCCCTCCGCTGCACGGAGGCCGATCCTGAGTGTCAGCAGAGCCTGAACCCATGGTTCCACTCCGATTTCGAGGGCCCGCTTCCCGCCGCAGGGGCCCCGACGAGCGGGACATCGCCAGAGACAGGCACAGCGCGCATGCTACATTGCGAGCGGCCCTGGGATGCAATGCAGCCGAATGCCTTGTTGCACCCCCCCTTGCCGGTCGGTGGATGAACTGAGCGTCGGCGAGAGCCTAACGCCGCGAGCGGAGGCACGAGCGCCTCCCAGCGCCAAAGGTACAGCGGCCAGAGCGGGCCTGGGATGCCACGCTGCCACACCGCAGCTCTGTTGCACTCTTTTCCCGCTCGGAGGGGGACCCTCGGCGTCGGCGAACCAGCGCCGGTGGGTCTGTTTCCCTGGCTGCGCCCGCACGCGGGCAAGAAGCCGCATTTGACGGACGGCCGAGCTAGCAGGACCATCCTGCAACACGGCCAGGCCGAAGGTCCAGCTACCCCAACCGAAGGTGAAGCCAGATGTCGACACCAGTGGCTCGAAAGAGATATGAGATTGGGCACGCCCCCCCGATACTGACCGGGACCTGGCGCGCCTTCGCAGTGGGTGAGGCGTGCCGATGTTGCCAGAGAGCTTGCCCGTGCCAATCCGCCCCTGAGGCGGCGCAGCACCAACTGCTGCCGCCTGCCGGGTGTCGCTCGCACACGGCTTCGCGAGCCCTGCGAGCCGAGCGTTCTGCGTCCACGCGCCACAATGAATGCAAAAAAAGCGCTCCCCCGCCCTCCACGTGCAGTGGGAGCTGTCGGGCGCAACCGTCCACCAAGGCGGAGGCTCTGGTGGCGGAGGCGGAGGCACCTCCGACGGGCCCCTGACTGTTCGCCGTTTGTCCTCTCGCCGATGCCTTCCGCCTGGCTGTGCATGAGTGCTGCACCTGCTTCAGCATGGCCGCTGCCGCCGAGATGGTGGGGCCCTCGCCACCGCCGTCGACGGGTGGGTGGGGGGCCCGAAATGGGGCCATCCCGTCCTGCGCAGCTGCCGCACGACCACTCCGCATTCGCGCCAGTCTGGATCCACGTGCCATGCCTTCCGCGCGTCTTTCTGCCACACGACTCGAAAACTGGCATCTCGCTCTCGGTCTGAGTCTGCAGCCGCCCCGGGAGCACCGCACCACCGCAGCGAGACATTGTCCGCCGTGCCCGTCCTCCGCCGTGAGCTGCTCGTTGCCGCCCTGCATGGCCTGCCTATTCAACGGAACGTCTTGACGACCAGCTTGTCCTGCTGCTGGCTGCGTCGCCGAAATCGATCATCACGCGGGTGCATCCTGGCTCCGTCGCGAGCTCTCTTGTCCGCAGCGTGGTTGCCCCTTCTTTGCCAGGCCTCGATTCCTTCAGCCTGCACGTCCGCGAAAGTGGCGTGCGCGTTGACCTGGATGACCTGGATGTTAATCTCCCCGATGTCGCCAACCACCTGCCAGAACCTCATCCATAGCTCGCGATACGGTGGTCTTCTCCACTGCGTGCACTTACTGCCAGAATCGTAACCGTCGGCCGGCATCTGGCACGCCTGCAACGCCTCTGTGCACCCTCGGCTGCGCCCGACTCCTGTGGGAAGGGCCGTGGTACTGGTTTGGACTGCGCCACGCGCTCCTCGTTGTTTGCCGTTGAAGCTGCTGCCCAGCCAGCCCTTGCTGCACACGCAGATGGCTCCTCCACGCTGCCGTCCGTGAAGAGGTTCCTCGTGAGCGGCTGCCCCAATGCCGCGTTTGGCTCCCTCTCTGCGGAAAGCGCTCTCTGCGACAGCCCGTTGTGGCTGCCTGCGGTGCTCCCGCGCGAGTGCCCTCGACCACAGGGCATCCTCCTCGCCCTGCAGCTCGTCATCCCGAACATAATATCTGGAGGAGGAGGAGGAGGAGGAGGAGGAGGAGGAGGAGGAGGAGGAGGAGGGAAGAGGGAGGAGGATAGGGAGGAGGTAGGTAGGAGGGAGGAGGGGAGGAGGAGAGGAGGAGGAGGAGGAGGAGGAGGAGGAGGAGGAGGAGGAGGAGGAGGAGGAGGAGGTGGAGGAGGAGGAGGAGGAGGAGGAGGAGGAGGAGGAGGAGAGGAGGAGCAGGAGAGGAGGAGGAGGAGGAGGAGGAGGAGGAGGAGGAGGAGGAGGAGGGAGGAGGGGAGGAGGGGAGGAGGAGGAGGGGAGGAGGAGGAGGAGGAGGAGGAGGAGGAGGAGAGGAGGGAGAGGGAGGAGGAGGAGGAGAGGGAAGAGGGAGGAGGAGGAGGAGGAGGAGGAGGAGGAGGAGGAGGGGAGGAGAGGGAGGAGGAATAGGAGGGAGGAGGAGGGAGGAGGAGGAGGAGGAGAGGAGGAGGAGGAGGAGGAGGAGGAGGAGGAGGAGGAGGAGGAGGAGGAGGAGGAGTGGAGGAGGAGGAGGAGGAGGAGGAGGAGGAGGAGGAGAGGAGGGAGGAGGAGGAGGGAGGAGGAGGAGGAGGGGAGGAGGAGGAGGAGGAGGAGGAGGGGAGGAGGAGGAGGAGGATGAGGAGGAGGAGGAGGAGGAGGGAGGGAGGAGGAGGAGAGGGGAGGAGGAGGAGAGAAGAGAGGAGGAGGAGGAGGAGGAGGAGGGAAGAGGAGGAGGAGGAGGAGGAGGAGGAGGGGAGGAGGAAGGAGGGAGGAGGAAGGAGGAGGAGGAGGAGGAGGAGGAGGAGGAGGAGGAGGAATATGCTGGAATATGCTGAAAGCGCACGCACGTGCTTCGAAACCAAAGCCCATGGGGTCGCAGGAGGAACACGAGCCTCCGCAACCCCAAGGCTGCAGCGCCGCAGGAGGAAGACGAGCCTCCGCGGCGCGAAGCTGCCGCTGGGCGCAGGAGGAACACGAGCCTCCGCACCCAGGAAAGCCAGAGCCGCAGGAGGAACACGAGCCTCCGCAGCACAGGCGGCGCAGGAGGACACGAGCCTCCGCACCCAGGAAAGCCAGAGCCGCAGGAGGAAGACGAGCCTCCGCGGCACGGGGGTGCAGGAGGAACACGAGCCTCCGCACCCCAAGGCCACTCAAAACTTGGCCGACTTCACGACCCAGCCTCGCCGAAATCGATCGCCTCGAAGCCCGCGTCGACGGCCTCCTCACAGGCGGCCAGATGCACGGCACGGGCCGACTCCAGCTGGGCCTCCAGCTCAAACACGACGCACGCGGTGCCCTCGATCTTCTGCTTGGCAGCGCTGAGGGTCAGCGTCGCGACCTCCACCGCGTCGTCCTGCGGCTTCTTGACCTTCACCCCGATGTGTTGGTCCTCGTCGGCCTCCTTAGGCACCTTCTGCACGAAGGCCTCCACGGAGACGTCGATGACCTCATGCACCAGGCTGGGGTCCTCGCTTGGCTTGCAGTCGACCTGATTCTGCTCAACGTGCTGGTTGGCCGCGGAGGTGCAGCTCGCCTCACTGAAGTGCCCCTCCTCGCACTCGCCTGGCTCCGCCGCCAGCCGCAGGTTGGCCTTCTCCTTGATCTTGCGTCCGCTGCGCTGCCTCCGCTTGGTCTCCTTACCATCCTGCGGGAGGTTGTCCGCGCCGCAGCCCATGTCCAGGTGCAGGCCAGTGTTGCGCATAGCCTTCATATCGCCGTTGAGGGCTGGGTCCCCCGACGGCCCAGCCTTGACCATCTCCTTGAGGGCTGGCTCCACCATAGCCAACCTAGCCTTGACCTCCTCCTGGACGGCATCGGGGGAGCCGTCGAGGGAGGTACGAACTGCGGCCGCCACCATCGCCGCAGCAGCCTGACGGGAGGCCCCGCCCGCAGCAGCACCAAGCGCCGCCGCCAAGACGTGTGCCGCACTCGCATGGGCGCACACTAACATTGCCACGGACTGGCAAATATCGACCGTAGCCATGCCCAAGCGCGCCTGTACAGTATGGAGGGGACCGAAGCCGGGCAAAACGCACAGAGTCAGCCTGAGCCAAAATGGCTACGGAGGAGGAGGAGGAGGAGGAGGAGGAGGGAGGAGGGAGGAGGGAGGAGAGGAGGGAAGGGAGGGAGGAGGAGGAGGAGGGAGGGGAGGAGGAGGAGGGATGGAGGGAGGGAGGAGGAGGAGGGAGGGAGGAGGAGGAGGAGGAGGGAGGAGGAGAGAGGAGGAGGAGGAGGAGGAGGAGGAGGAGGAGGAGGAGGACATCCCTCCCTGGACCAGACTCCCCGAGGCGCAGCCGACTCTCCGCGACGAGGGCGCCCCCCCCCCCCCAATGGCGTCCAGCAGTGGCGTCCTGCAATGGCGTCGGCTCCGTACCTCGTCGTTGGTCTCAGCCCCGTGTCCGCCAGGCGACCTGCAGCAGCTGCACCCTGCCTGCGTACAGCACGCACCCGTTCCAGCTGAGCCGCCGCTTTGCCCTTTCTCTGGAGGGAAAACAACACAGAGACACAATTGATCGTCGACTCCCAGGAAAATATGGGAAAATATGGGAAGTGGGGGGGGAAGACGAAAATACGGGAAATAGGGGGAATCCTGGGATTTGTGTGTATTTGTGTGTGTGTGTCCTTGGGCCCCTTGACTATCTTCCTTCGGCAATGATGCACGCCTGGCCGTCCAGTCCGCGCCCAGGTTCTTGACACTCTCCGCCTTCGGGGAAGCCATGCCCCCCGAATTTCGCGGTTGGCGATGTCATTCCCGAGGAGCTCGCCAACATCTCGGTCTTCTCCTTGGAGAACGCATCCAAGGCCGACCAGGCCGTTGATGACCATTGTGGTAGCCCCTGAAAGATACGCTGTTGCCTTTGCCGTTGGCCCATGGCACGTCAGGCAGCAGTCCTCGAACACTACGTATAGCAAGGTTGACCCTCGGTTCCAATGCCCTCAACATTCTGACACGCTCGTCCACCACCATCAGCAAGCCGCACTTCAACGGGCGCCCTGAGTGTCCGCATCCAGCGATGAGGCCCGCGTCCAGAACGAAACCCTTCGAGGCCCCCCCCGTCTAGCATGATGTGCCTCACCCCAGCGTGGACGGACATTGCCATCATGAGTAGTCCCCTCGGGTATTTCGCGAGGATGCCCCGCTGTTGGATGATTGCGAGGTCGACCAACTCGTACGCCTTCCAAAGATCAATGGGCATGGCTGCGGATTCCTCTCCTCAGCCTCCTCCAGCTTCCCCTCGCACAGCCTGCCACCACACTGCCTCTCCTGCGGCGCGCCCTCCCCCCCCTCCCCCCCGAAGCAGCCTGCCAGGCCCTCGTCGATGCCCTCGCCCCGCCGCCTCGCCGCCGACTGTCGTGTGCGACTCCAGAGACGAGGGAGCCGGCACAACAGCCCAATGGGTCTGACCCCCCCCCTCTGCTGCCTGGGGGGCATCATGGTCACCACAGGGTCCCTCTTGACACTGGGCCAGCCTCCTCTGTCCTCGCGCTGCCTCCCGAAGTCGACCAGAGCCTCCGGCAACTCGCCGCCGAGCAGCGCAGGCTGCCCTGGGCTCGTGCGGGGCGCCTCCCACGCCCGTGCTTCTGGCTACGGCACGGGCTGCTCTGCGTACTTCAGCAACTGACGGCCTCGGTAGTGGCGTCCTGTAGCTGGCCACCGCTGCCAGCTTGAACCTGGTGCCGTCCAGCCTGACTCTCCACACCTCCTGAGACCAGCAGCCTGCGATTGTCTGGACACGGTGCTGCCCACTAGCTGGCGTCTCGTACACCAAGTCGTCTGGGACCCACCATCGCGGCCCCCTTCCTGTAGGCGTGCGCTCCGCCACCACCATCTGACACTGACTTGCCGATCCGGTATTTGAAGCCCTTGTCCCTCGCGGCCGCGTGCGCCGCTGCCTCTGCTTCCGCAAGCTCCTTCGCCTCCCTGATCCATCTCTCCAGCGGGGCCCGCAAAGGGCACTGCAGCGTCAGCTCCACTCTCGCCGCCCATTGACTTCCGAGCAGCTTCATAGCTCCTTTCGGTGCCTTCGGACTCCTGCCTTGCACGCACTTGAAGTTGCCTTCTCCGCGGGTGAGCTGTGGCTCCGCGTCTGGCGGTGCAGGCTGGGCTGGAGTTCCGGCCTGTATGTAACGTCCCAAGGCCCCGATGCACGCGTAGCGAGCTTCCTGAGCCTGCCCCAACTCTTCAGCGCCCGACTCCAGGATGTTGTTGATGAGCATGAGGTGCTGTGCTCGGGCCGTACGGCTTCCGTTCCACGCCTCCTCGCACAGCTCTCCCGCCTTCTCCCACTTTTCCACTGCTACAGGTCTCCGGCTCAGGACCAATGTCTCCTGGTTCACCTTGGCTCGCTCCGCTGTCCCCGTCCCAAGAGGTGCATGGCGTAGAGCGTGCACATGTCGGACCATGACTGCCTGTGGTTGTCGTCGTTGCCGCTGTCAAGTGCGGGCATCCATCCTTGCGCGCCCGAACGCGTCGCGCCCCACCCCCCACACCACCACCACCAAACACACACACACACACATTCACACACAAACTCACACACACACACACACACACTCACACACACACACGCACACACACACACACACACGCACACACACGCACACACACTCACACACTAGCACACACAAACACACACACACACACTAGCACACACACACACACCTCCACTATCTCCAGCTCCGCCAATGCATGCCTGTCGGAATGCCCGAGGGGCGTTTTCCCCCCTCGGGCTTCCCCATAGTCTGTATTGGTTCCACTCGTGGCTGTCCACCTTCTCCGATCTGTACTGCCGCACGTGCTTGACACACGCCAGCGCCAGGATGACTGGGCTCGGTCGCGCTGTTCCCAATTCCCAGCCCCCTGCCTTGGCGGAGTCCTCTCGTCAAGCCATCTCCTGCTTTCCAGGTAGCGGTCTGTTGTGCGGCGAATCTCCTCCTCCCAGGCGTCCCTGTCCAACGCCTTGAGGTTGCTGCGAATCCGAATGGTCTCGCCCCTCCTGATGATCCCTCGCCGCCACGCCGTGTCGCACACCTCCTGGGACATCCACGTTCTTGCGTTGAAACTGTTGGCCATCCCTGAGTGGCTGAAGATGGCTTCTCCTGACACGTGGAGAACGTACGGGATGCACAAGTCCATCCATTCTTTCCCGTCCTCCTCGGCGTTCTGATTCGCTGGCTGCTGATCCACAGCGACGCACGCCACCCCAGGGACCTATTATGCATGGCTGTGGTCCTAGCTTCCTGCCGAATGTGCTCCCTCTTCCCATGACCCTCCTCTTTGTCCATGCTCTCGTAGGTGCCATCGAAGCCGTTGATTCTTTCCATGATATCGGACACCTGCATGAGGAACTTCCCTTTGTAGCTTGCTTTGACCCCCTTAGTGTGCTTCACTGTTGCAGCTGTACCCCATGCATGCTGCGGCGCCTTACCTCGCCCTCGATACCTGCGGCCAGCTGGTCCACCGGGTTTTCCCTCAGCAATTAGTCCTCTATGCGCTCGCGCAGGCTGCTGTAGCGCTGTCCCAAGGTCGCCCCAGTCGCGGTCTGGATCGCGTCCCTCTCAACGTCGTAGTTCCCTACCTAGGCTCTGCCTAGAAGGGTTCTTACTCGCTTGGCTGACAGGGGCTGGGCAGTGCAAACCGCCCCGGGCGGTTCCCCCAGTCCCCTGGGAGCCAAGCAAAAGCAACAGCACAGGTAAAAGCAAACGCCCGGTTCCCCCAGTTGCGCTCCCTGGGTGCCAAGCAAAAGCAAAAGCAAAGGCAAAAGTGAAGGCACAAGCGAAGGCCAAGCAAAAGCATAGCATAGCATAGCATAACATAGCATAGCCTAGCATAGCGCAGCATAGCATAGCGCAGCACAGCATAGCATAGCAGATCCTAACCTAGCCCAGCCTAGCCTGCGCATCATAGCATAGCATAGCACAGCATAGCAGAGCATAACATAGCATAGCATAGAGCAGCACAGCATCCACTATTGCTGCTACTCTACTACTACTACTACTACTACTACTACTACTACTACTACTACTACTACTACTACTACTACTACTACTACTACTACTACTACTACTACCTACTACTACTACTACTACTACTACTACTACTACTACTACTACTACTACTACTACTACTACTACTACTACTACTACTACTACTACTACTACTACTACTACTACTACTACTACTACTACTACTACTACTACTACTACTACTACTGCTACTACTACTACTACTACCACCACCACCATCACCACCACGACGACGACGACGACTACTACTACTACTACTACTACTACTACTACTACTACTACTACTACCGCTACTGCTACAATTACGACGATGAGGAGAAGGAGGAGGACGGCGTTGACCGTTCCTACTAATGCTGCTTTCCTAGAGGCTCCAACTCCCTGGTAGGGTCGCACTGGGATAATTGTAGTTCGCCTCCTGCGGGGGCCCGTACGGCACTGCCTTTGGGAATGCCATGTGCCCTTTGGGACGAAACGCCTTAGGCTCCAGCGCCTTCCCCGCTAGGGTGAGGCGCACCCCCATGTGCGGCCTGCACGGATTGGCTGCGCCCTCTTGCATGTTAATCAGCTCGCAGCTCATGATCCTGTCCGCCAGGCTGACGTCCACTATGAACCAGTTCAGCCCCGACGCATCCCTTCTTGTCTGCCACCAACCTGGCACGTGCCCTTCCCCGAGTCGATGAGCACGCCCTTGACCGCCCTGGTCCAATTTCCAATCGCCAGCCTTGTGGAGGAACGCACTCGGGTTCACGTTCCAGTCGCCTCCCAAGACCCACGGTTTGCCTGACTCCCCGAGCGCCTTGCCGACGCTCTGCAAAACCCCCAGGCTGACGTCCCCCTACCGTG